CCCTCCCTCCCCAACTCCCCCAACCTGAACAAGGATAATATACTACTTTGTTACCATTGTTATCATTGCCCTTTGATATGCAATTTCTTCCTAGAACTTGCATGCTGCTGCCACCACTCTTCTCAAGAACCTCACTAAAGGAACAAGAAAACCCCTGAAAAGGTAGGATAAACTCAAGATATTACAGTTTAAAGGCATCATTTAAAAAACTCAGGCCTTAATCTTTCAAAGTTATATGTTTAATTTGAATATTAGAGCTAACTTTACATTTATGATACATATTTTTATGTATGTATATTATATACTTCAGTGAAAATTTAATTTAAAGGAAAAAGGGAAAATCATTCCAGTAGTTTACTTATTAAATATACTTAATAGAAAACCTAAAATGGTCACAGGGGGGAATGGAAAAGACACATCTTGTCCCCAGCTTTACTATGTCTCTACCCTCACTTCCAAGAGTAATACATGCAAACAAAAGCAATGCTTTTTACTGGACTGGTCTTTAAGATAGCTACTTCAAATCGGCTTCACAGTCTAGCACTTCCCAGTTCCCTTCCTTGGTTACACAGGAGGGAAATGACCATTGACAGTAAGAGCACAGTGATTTCATCTATTAGAATAGTAGTACACATTTTAAATAATCTTCTTTAGGTTTATATTCAGAGAGAAATGTTAGCCCTGAAAGAACCAATCCTGACCTTTGTGATAACTCCTTTTTTCATATTCTCAACATACTGTATACATTCCTTCTATTTGCATTTTCTAATGGGTAAATATCTCATTAACCTACCAGAATCATTAGTAAGCAAACATCATTATAGTCTCTCTCATTTATTTGTACGTTTAAATATTGAATTCTCAAAGAAAAGGACATAGGTTTAGCATTAGCGTAATCGTACTTCAGTATCTCTTACTTATTTGTTCTCTTACTCACTGAAATAAAGAACTCCACACATATACAATGACCTCTTAGGCTCCCAAGAAACAGTTAATACATAAGAGAAATCAGTAGTGCTTGTCTTCATTCAAATATCCAACATCCATTTACTGAGCACCAAGCGCTATCCGCTCGGTACCATGCTAGGCACTAGGACTATAAAGCTACCTTGGAGAAGTCCATAGCCTTATTTTATCAGGTAGTGGGGTTAGGTTTGTTTTCACTTACACAGTAGTATAATTTATCAGTTTGTAAGCTTACTTTGGAATAGGGTCAACAGAGAAAGGAAAGATTTGCTTTAAAAAACAAAACTAAACTAAATTATAACAAAAATTCCATTAGGTGTCTTTCGATAGTCTTCCTATGGTCTTTAGCTCCGAAAATTTTTGAGAGTATTTATGAGGACAAAAGTCAGATTACTTTATAAAATGGATGATAAATGTTAATTAAATGTGTTTAAATTATCTTACTGTGTTTTAAGAAACGCTCACCAGGAGGGAAGTAGAATATCCTGGCCATAAAGAAATTAATAAAACATGTTATGCAAAAGTAAAATTTATGATTCATTTGGAATTAGATATCTACTACCTTTTCAATCCATACAAATGCATAATCTTGTCAATTAAATATTATTGTTAAGGTCTAGTAGTATGTTAAAATCACTTTAAAGTGCAACTAAGGAAAATTCATGTGTGTTTATTACTCCTTAAGGATCTATTAGTGGGTATTTTATTCAGATTCGTGCTGTAAAATCTGCATAAACTCAGCATATTGTTATCCCCATGTGTGCATTTGTTTGGTTAAAGCAGAACAGCAAATCTCAATTTTTGCAACTTCTGGAAAAGTCAAGAGAACTAAAACAGTCTTAATTTTAATCAGATACAAACAGTTATCACTACAGAAGTGAAGAGTTGACTATTATGCAAATAGTCACAGTTAGTGGTCACCAGGCCATCACAGAAGACTGAGCTAGTCAATTACTTTGGATATTTCCAAAGACTAGTGAAGATGAATGTTTCTTATTCTACCCTGTCTTATTTCCACAGAAGTATGAAACATATTAGAGACTAATGGTTGTTGTTCTCAAATGGAAACCCCATTAAATACACAATGGTCAAAGTGTTTTGCCAAGATGGAAATTAATTTTTTTTTAATTTTGCATAAATGCGGTATAAAGATGGTAACATTTGTGAAGAATGTAGCATTCCTTTCTTTGTAACAACCAAATTCAGATATAAACCTTTTGTAAACTTTTGACCTGTAATGAAGGCAATCTGGCTTTTACCCCTGAAGTATTTTACACAAGCTTATTCTGTTAGCAATGACCAGAGTTCAATTATTAAATTCCTCCTCCAGAAATGCAGGTTTACATCTTTGACTACAGGACTTGTTAAAGTTATGCACAAGCAACTTTAAGGCAGACTTTGTACCTCCTCAGGGCTTAGTAAAAGTCTCTCTTACACAGAGTAGGGACTCAAGAATACTTGTTACATAAATACATTAAAGTATTTTTGTTCTATGTTGTTCAAAACTAAGCCACAACTCTGGTGATTTTGTTAAATCTAAACCTTCTGAATCAATTTGAAGTACTTTCATCATTAATAATCTTCAAATTGAGGCAATGGAAATAAACATCTCCTCTCCAAGATACTTCATCATGGCATTCTTTTCTTTTAGCATGCCATGTCTGATTTTGAAAATATAAAAGTCAATTTAAAAATACAAAAATCAACTGTATTCATTTATTTGAAGATAGTTTTTTAATTATTTTTAATATATATTTATTGATTTTAGAGAGAGAGAGAGGAAGGGAGAGGGGTAGAGAGAGAGAAACATCAAGCGGCTGCCTCCTGTACGATCCCTACTGAAGATGGAGCTGTCAACCCAAGCATGTGCACTAATCGGGAATTGAACCATGACCTCTTGGTTCATGGGTTGACACTCAACCACTGAGCCACACTAGCTGGGCAATTAGAAAATAGTTTATTTTTTTAAATGTTTTTATTTATTTTTACCACCTTTCTCCTCTTCTTTTCAACTAGAGGCCCAATGCACAAAATTCATGAAAGAGTAGGCTTTCCTTCCTCTGGCTGCCAGGACTGGTTTCCCTCTGGCACCTGGAACCCGGGCTTCCCTCTGGCTACTGGCAGACACCCAGGACTCGGGCTTCCCTTGCAGCCCTGGCTACATCCGGAAGGTCATCTGGAAGGATGTCCAGAAGGACATCCAGTCTAATTAGCATGTTATGCTTTTATTATTATAGATAGCTTCTAAGTCTTTGTTCACACCACTTAGAATGATATTTCCTCTCTTTTTTGCCTTTCCAAACCTGACCTATCATTCATGGTTCAGCTCAAATTCAGTTCAAATTCAATTCTATGAAGAAGTATAAAGTTCTTCCTTCCTGTCAAAATTTACATTGCACATACTGTGTTGAATTATTTAGCGGTTTTTATTTCAATATTTGCCACTATTCTAAGCATTGGGGACATAAAAGCAGATAAAATTTCCTACCATTAATTCTTAGGATAGACAGACAATATACAAATGAATGTAGATATATATGCAGGTGTATATGTATGTACATATATATTATATACAAAATTGGGTGTCCCAAAATTCACTCAAGAAGTAATTTTGATAGAAAACACAGGTTTATAATTAAAAATTGTAAATTATTTTTTGATTCATAAAGTATACAGTATAGGGTTATGTATGGAATAGCACATCAGGTAAATGGCCTCCACGGCTTTGCTGGCACATATGCAAAGCTGTGGTCCTCATTGGTCTTCATTGTCCCTGCTCCTGGGCCATAATTGGTACTTGGTAATGCTTATCAAATTGAAGGGATTGAAATCAAAGGGCACATAGAATCTGATTCAATAAATCAAGTAAAATTAGGCTTTTATTTTTGTTGTTGTTGTTGTTGTTAATGCTCACGCAAAATTCAAATCTTCATTGAATTTTGGGACACCCTATGTATGTGTATATATATATATGTGTGTATATAATGAGCAAATATATAAGTATAATAAATACCAGTTGATAACAGATACTATGAAGAATAGAGATAGAGTATGAGGGGTAGAGCTAGAGATAGAGAGACAGAGAGTAGAGATTGAGATAGAGATAGAGATAGAGATAGAGATAAAGTATGAGGGGTATATGGTGGAAAGTGGGAGGTAACTGTAGGGAATGGAGGGGGTTATTTTGGTTAGGGATGGTCAAGAAAGGCTTCTCTGAGGAGATAATATAATGCAGGGTTGAATGACCTAAGAAAATGCTACATGGAACCATCTGAGAAAAAAGCAACTCAGGCAGGGGGCATGTGAGTGCAAAGGACCCAATGGAGCAGTAACTTGGGTGAGTGAGCTGGTAAGGACAGCACAGGAAAAGCAAAGAGAGTAGGAGTAGAGAGAGAGAGAGAGAGAGAGAGAGAGGGGGGGGGGGGGGCAGAAAGAACAGGCAGGAAAGAAGGGAGGGAGAGAGAGAGAGAGAGAGGGGGGGGGGAGAGAGAGAGAGAGACATAGAGGAGATCACTCTGGGTTTTGCAGAGCACAGCAAAAAGTGTGGATTTCATTCTGAGTGTGATGGAAAGTCATTGCAGGGTTTTAAGAGAGAGAAGTGGCATGAGACCTGACTTAGGTTCATAAAGATCACTCTGGTTGCTGGGAAGAAAATGGACTTGACTAGAGCAAGAATGAAAGCAGAGAGGGTAGTTTAGAAACTACTTCAATAGTCTAAAAGTGGGATCATCATGGCCTTTTCCCATCTTACATATGCTCTCTACAAAAGTAGAAGAAACCATCTTGCAGACATATTCTTAATAGATACTAGGACAGTGCCTGCAAATATGACAGGCAAAAAATAATTATCTGACTGATTAACTAATTGATTAACTGACTGATTAAAAACATGACCTATCCAGTGATTCCATATGAGACAAGAAGCACATCACTTTCAAACACTGGTACTTTGTCATGCCTATAGGGGAGAAGAGTATCCTATATAATAGAAGTGATATGCAAATTGACCATCACACCCTTGCACAAGGAGGGCCTCCCCCATGTGGTCAAAAGATAGCCTCCACAAGATGGCCAGCAGGGGAGGGCAGTTAGGGGTGACTGGGCCAGCAGGGGAAGGCAGTTGGGGGGATCGGGCCTGCAGGTGAGACCAGTTAGGGGCGACTAGGCCAGGAGGGGAGGGCAGTTAG